TTACAAAAGCATTTATTGATGATGAAGACGATTACGAATCAAAGTACACCATCACTGAAATAAAAAGCATTGTTTTAGGATCATCATATCGTCATTGTTTGGACATATAGTTTTTCTTTCCAAATCTAACGAAACACACACACACACACACACACACACATATATATATATATAAATTACATCAACATTAAAATATTAGAAATTAGGTGCCATGGTACAATATTTAACATTCTGAAATATTTAACACTATCACTTTCTCACAGTACTTTTGATATGAAATTACTTTGAATACACAGAATATATTTTATTTTACAGAAACATGGTTTTTGTCTTTGTCTATGTGTAGTAAGTAAAGAAAATCAATGCACCTTATATATAAAAACTGGAATAGTAAGATATTAGGACTGAAAACTTTGTTTTTAAATAAAAAATAAGGTCTTTCAGGTACTTAAAACTTTCAAAATATTTCAGAAATTTTCAAGATTTTATTTGATAAATCAAAAATGCTTAGTTTCATAAAAAATTAAAAAAAAATCATTTTAGATGAATCGTATATATATATATATATATTATATATATATATAGTGATATACATTCTAAGTTTTGTGTAAATATTTTAATTTTAAAAACAAATTATGCTTATTCATAGTTTTTATTCACAAGATTAGAAAATGTAATCATGTAAATTGTAAGCTAAATTTTCTAATAAATAATCATAATAGTTTGAAAAGTAATTTATTAAAAATAGTTCTTGAAAAATTTTATAATCATGAAAATTTGAATGTGTTAAAACAACTGATCATATACATATGCCTCAGTAAACCTGCATTATAATCTACTGGATTTAAATTCTTAAAATGCTACTTATAAATGAATATTTTAATACAGTTTGTGAATTGTTGTTACTGGTAGTTTGTCTACTTGAGCCTAATATTCATAAAAAGTCGAATAATAAATTTTAATATACATTGAAATAGGAGAAAAAAATGTAAATTTAATTTCTCTTACATGAAAATTATTGAGCTTTATTTGCAATGCATGAGATTCAGAAAATAAGTAACCATAAAATACTCTAATGCTATTGTTTTTAACTTCAATATATTGCACAAAATATTGCGAAAGAAATGTTTCTATTTCATATTATAAAATTATGAAGAGCTTAATTAACCTGTTTCCCCAAATTATGAATAAAGTCTTCAGTTAGCTTATAACCCTTTTTACTTTTGAGAAGTTATATGCATACGAATTCCTATACATTAATAATTACAGGTGAGTAAAATGTTTACATATACTTTTAGACGTAACTTATTTTTATATATGCTAATTCTAATTTCGAGTCTCACATGCAAAGAATAAAGTAAATTTTAAAGTGAAACAATATGGATTAGCTCACATAGGTAAAATAAAAATTAATTTTTCATAATTCTGCTGAAAATTCTTATGTATTTTATTTATTGATTAAATCTGAGTAGGAATCATTAATATAGTTACAGAATTATAATAATAAATGGATGAATTCAAAAATATGTATCCATTTCATTATCGAATTGACAAGTGAGAATTTGAAAAATCTGTGATTATTTTTTTTTTCACTCTTTGAGAAATTTCTTTACTTTTGAAACGTTTTGGAGAACTTGATTTTCTGTGATGAACTTAAGAAAGTTTGAAAATGATTTTGATTAAAATGATCAAAAACATTGTTTAATTGCACTTACAATTAATTATGTGATATCATTAAATTAGTATAAATACCCATTTATTTTTTAAGTAACAATTTTTAGTAATTTTTCAAAAATCTCAGTGCGTTAATTATTACATAAAAACACAAAGAATACAAATTTCGCCAGAATAAATCGCTTTTACGCAGCATATTATTGTTATCAAGCAGTGTATAATAATTCGTCGTAACATAAAATTTGATTTGTTTCTTTTATGCATGTCAGTTTTATTTTGCTTTCAAAACTTGTTTTATTTTCGAAACAAACAGTCTTATGCTACTTCAAAGAACGAATTTTTCCTTTAAATTCCTTTAAAATCTTTCTTTCTCAGACTATGTGGTTTCCACATCAGATTTTTTTATATCTAATATTTAGGTATATCTGATATTGTCACACTGTTGCTGAATTACATGTATGTTACTGAATGTAATCCAGTAACAGTGTAACAGTACATACTACTATTGTAAAGTGATTAGGTTATTTTGAAGCAGGAAGACGTGGAAAATGAACAATGCCCTCGCTAAGACTCGAACCTGGACCTCTCGAATACGTTTCGAGGTTGCTAACCGTTACACCACAAAGGCATGCTGGCAGGAGGGACAAAATACCTTTTACTATCAGTTACATCATTTTTGTGTAACCAGAAATGTTACCTTTATACAATCTTTACAACAGTTCTTGTGGTAGACTCAAACTTTTATTGATAATTTTTAGTAGAGCAGCTTGTTATGCTGAAATACAATTTATATCAAATACTTGTTTCTATAAAAAAGAAATTTAGAATTGAATGCACCAAAATCTTAACATAAAATTTCTATCGTAACTTTTCATTAAGAATTTACTATGCTGAATCTAGTGCAAATAGCTATTTATGTTTAAAGACTGATTTCGGTAATTTCTCAAGAATTCTAATTCCTTACTATTCTTTACATACTTATCATGTGAAAAGGAGAATGTTAAAGAAGTTTAGATGGACAAATAGTCTTTTTAATATTTTTATTATGATAAAATTGTAAGCTATTATGCAAAAAAATCTAACTTTATAGCATTATTAAATTTGAATATTTCTACAAGATAAGTAATTTTAGCTGCATAAGACAGGTAAAAGAGTGAGGAGTCAGTCAAATGTAAACTAATTCACATCAAATGACCAGTAAAATCAGGCAAATCACTGACTGGATCATTTGGGTGGAGGTCAAGCTGCATTCACTTCTTCGAAAGGCGGAAGAATATTCCCCGATGCCCGAGAGCTTGATTCCGCCACAACTAATGTTTCTTTGTTGCTAATATCTTTATTTTCAAAAATTATTTTTAAGTTCTGTTATTTAAATTTATTATAACTATCATACTTGAAAAATATGTAGTTGTTACTTGAAATACTTGAAAAATACGCAGAAAAGTTGAATCTAATCTAAGTGACTCAAAATTAATTTAAAAATCAATTAAATTGAATTTGGTTTAGCTGTTGTACTACACAAGGATGTTTGAAAACACTGACTTCACACTTTCTTTCTTTAAATTTTGATGCTGAATACGTACTTTCATTTGCAAATTTTTCAAAATTTAAGGAGATAATTTATTTTTTTAAATAGCTTAAACACTAAGAAATGGAGGATTCTATAATCATGAAAGCTACTTTTTTTTATATGTCCTCTGTAGAGCAAAACAAATCCAATATTTAACATGCTCTAATAAATTAAAGGTTCCATATGTTTTAATGCGAAATTCACAGATATATTTCTAACTGATATTTTCAAGGACTGGCAGAATTTAGAAGAGAGAGCTATAAATTTGAAAGAGAGTACTGTTTACTCAACACGGAACCATTATTAACCGAAAAAAAACAAATATCGAATTTGTAGATTTTTCCTGTGGAAATAGTTTCAGCTTCGATAACCATTGAAAAGAGACTCAAGTCAGTAAATTCTTTCTCTAACATTTCTACAAAATTTGAGCTTGAAGAACAGAGGGGATTTAAATGTAATATAATAAATAATATTGGTACTTATGTATTTTCCCGTCAGCCGTAAAAGTTGGTTCTCGTCGATCATAAAACTGGCGGAAATCCCACTAAACTTGTGTTTTCAATCATTCTGGTAGAATTTGTAAAAATAGATGACTCATTATTTAATTAGATAATCACAGGTCACTCGCAATTAAGTCACATAATAAACACATACAGATTACGAATACAGCATATAAGAAACTTAAATAACTATGACCTCAAGCTTTTAAATTTGTGCAAACAAGTTCACTAAATTTTTCTCTAGTCATTTCGACGGTCAAAAAACCTGATAACATTTAAAATAGCAATTAAACAGTTATCTTGCAAGTAACTCGAGACTACATAAATTCGCTTACGAATCTAAGATGTATCCCACCTCTTAGCGAGATTCCTTATGGCGCCATTTTGCCGAAAACCAGAGTCTTTCAGTAGTGTTTTGAATGACAGTGTTTTGAGTTGGAATCTACAAAAATATTCTGGCAATTAAACTTTAAAACGTTCAAGTCCTGCAGCTCTAAATTCATCAGTTTTATATATGCCTTAATAAACGAAATGATCGAATGTATCCACGCTGGTTAATCGAGAATTAATTGGAATTTTATAAAATCAAAGTGAAGATTTTATGAGTGGGTTGTGACTTAATTTAACCTTAACCATCATTGGCTCTAAATTTGGACAGTTTGGTGATAATTTTGTTGAAATTGTCGACGGCAAATTACATAATTACCTGAAAATTTTATTTTAAATTTTACTCCGTAAGAATCATAAAATATTAGAATTTATATTTTCAAAATCTTCTCATCAGCACTGTTAAAAAAGTTTTTATAAAATTTTTTATCTCTTTTAGAGAAACTCCGTGTTTGGATTTAACGCGTATGGCATCAAGGATTTAAATAAATAAAGCTTGCCGTTGTGTTTTATTCTCTAATGTGTAGCATATAAAAAGTAAACAAAGTGCTTTAGCTCATACAATTTCAATAAGATCAGAACAAGATTCAGATTTTAGGAAATGCCTTTTGACATTTGAGACAATATACGCTTTAAGGAAGGCTTTCAGTATGGATGGGGAAAAGTAGCCATCTTTTCGATGCCGTGTGTAGGCACACATTTGTTTAAAGAAGATTATAAAATTACTATAACTAAAATAATATCTATTTCTATGTTTATGGGAATACGAGTATTGCATATATTCTTGCATGCATAACATTAAAGAATTATCTTAAACACAGAATATTTTTTGAATTTTTGCATTTCAGTGGTGCTTATTTGTATTTCAGATAGCGCTTCTGATGTTCGTGACACTTGCTTCCTTACTGGAACAAATGAGTGCTCTTGGCAGCTATGGATACTATTGGCAAACTTACCCTGCGGTCCCGGGCACTTTGAGCTATCAGCCACTGGCAGACGTATCAGCTATTCTACCGCCAGACTGCGATAAAAAGAAGGAAGGCTCTGAAAGCAGCAGCAGTGAAAGTAGTAGCTCTAGCGAAAGCAGCTCGAGTGAAAGTGGAAGTAGCTCAAGTGAAGGTAAAATAAAAAGATATTTCAACTAATTTATTTTAAACATTTTTCCAGCAACTGCCACACGAATAAAACAAAGTATGAAAATATAAGGTAAGGCCATATTATGGCCTGGCATCACATTTAATTGCACATTTTGCAATTAATATGTGTTTTTCTTTCTCTTTTTCAACTACATGAATCAGTTGTTAGAAAAAATGTGAATAGGTAGTTATAAATTCAACCATACATGATGGCGTTAATTAAGGAAGTAAACTGCGTTGGTAGAAGTCGGAGACTTCAGTCATTCTGTAAGTCTGTAGAAGTGTTTATCATACGAAGGCTTTACAAATGAAGCATTTCGCCCCCTATTAGTGTTGAATTATTATCTGGTAAAAGATGTTGTTTAAAGAGTTAATGGCATTCTTTCCACGTATCGTTGTCCAACAGTTTCGAATTTGAGTTTTCAAGCGTCCAGCTTCGAAAAGTACTTAATAATCTACGCAGTAGTGCCCAAATCAAAATGTTGGAGATGATATAGAGCAGATAGACCTTCTATATTATATAGTCTATAAGAATAGACCTCATTCATTCTATAGACCTTTCTCACTTTTCCCAACTGTGTTGTTTCTCGTCAATCACCCTTTAGGGGAAGGGGAGGGAAATGTAAGGAATTAAGGGTTTCCTTTGCATGTATTCTCTTGATGTTCCAGCTTCGTAATGACATTACCCTTGTACAGCGTAATGTCCAAAACAAATAAAAGCCCAATGATGAAATACCTGGTAAATAAGAAAATCCGTTAATATCTCACAATATTATTTCAACTTGCCTGGAAACAGATGGTCAGCCATGAATAAATGTTATCCTGTTTTGTCACAGATTCCGTTCTGGAGATTAAATTGAAACATACTCCTGGAAAGTCCAATGATATATCTAGTTGTTTGCAATAAAGATCAATGCTGATAATTTATTTTGATCACAGGTTTATTGTAATGGATTGCTCTCTTGAAAAGAAATCAGTAACATATTCTTAGCTGTGTCTGGTGTAAGAAGGACTTCATAAGCATTCTTTTCTCTTCTGTACTTCTTTCTACTCTGTACTACCTATGTACATGATATTATTACTGTAAATGCGATGTACTTTTGTACTTGTTCCGTTATCTCAAAGTCAAGCAATACACGGACTGTAGACCAGCTGAGCTAACCTCAGTATTAGGCGAGAGAAGGACCTCCAGTCAAAGTCCTCAAAGAGAGGTAAGAAGTATGCCAATCATGCTACCATCCCAAGGGGTCCAATCTCAAGATGGAAGACTTTAAAAGAGAATTCTCTAAACCACTACTGCACTGAACAACCAGAGTCACCACTGCCGCCGACCAGAGACTACAGTGATGGGAACGATGGTAACCTGGATTGGTCGTCAAAATGCTTCCGCCAGTACTACGTCGACTATGACCCATACTTCTGTGGTCCAACCCCACCGGGCGGAGTACAGAGTCATTACCTATTTCCTCACCAGACGTTCCACCCAGCCTCTGGTGGGGGAATACAGTTATTACCTATTTTCTCACCAGAGGTTCCACACAGCCTCTGGTGGCGGAGTACAGAGTTATTACTTCTTTCCTAACAGATTTGGGTCTTCGCAACCCCCCTGGTCCAATCGTATGAAACGATCTTCCTTCGGGGTTTCGGAACCGCCAGGCTCAAAATCATTCCCCCTCCCCGAGTGCTACTGCCATAGTACGGTACTAACTCAGTGTGTACACGCCGGGGGTATTGTTACGGTCAAGAGTTAAATTTTTATTTTAGTTATTATTGTACTGTAAAAATTTACTTGTTTAGAATGTACGGGGAAAAAAAAAAGAAAAAAACGTATTATTTGTAATGGCAAAAAAACTCATTGTTTGTCATGATTCAGATCTGAGACAAAAGCAACTGATAATATACAATGCTTCTTTATTAACTGTATGGATATCCATATGCTTAAATCCAAATTAATTTCATTACTAGCAATAAATGCAACTGAATTACAAAGTTTATATGCGTATAATGTTTTAGTCTTCATGGGAATTATTAATAAAATAGCAGATTAATACACATTCTTCACGCAGTTTTATGTTTATTATATGTTTATTCTTGTGAAAATTTTTAAGAGAGGAAATAAATAGAGATGAGAAAACAAATACGGAATACAATACCGTATTTGGTGCCTGTCTATCAATATTTATATCTCAATTGTTCTATAAGATATGAAACACTGTAGGAAACACACAATAAATAAATTCTAAAGTCAACTGGAAAAAATTATTTTTTTTTCTAAAAGAAAGAAATTTTAAAAAAGGACAAAAAAATCTGAAAGGTTTCAGATTTTAAATTACGTCCAAAGGAGCTTTTTTTAACGTTTTCTGTATTACCTTTATTTATTAAATATCATGTTCTACGTACTCAAACTATAAAATTCAGTTCAACAGCAATATCGCAAATGAATTTTAATGAGCATATCTTTAGAATTCCCGATATAGAGTCTTGCGCACTTGGAGATGAAAATGTATTTTTCTTTTTCCGTACAGTGTTGCCATTGCTCGCTTTGAAATCCTTTAGTTTTTCAATCAAAAATTCGTTGAAGTGTTACAAAATCTGAAATCGATAATAAAACAAATTTGAAATTCAAGTTAGGGCTTCCACACGCCCAAATTCTGTGGAAGATTACGTTATTCGAATTTTGATGGTTCTAGGTACCGTTGTTTTATCATATTGCGGGAAACATACATACATTTATGGAGCTTCTTCATTATTTAATTTCTTTAAATATAAGACAGAGCGATAATATAAGGTGGCAACGATTTTAAAAGTGATACAGTCTTTTAAAGTTTTCAACGCACAGTGCCAAAACGAAATTAATAGTCCTTCAGGACAAATTACCCCTTTGGATTAATAATTTTAAATGCTCTCTATTCGAATTACATTAGTTTCAGATGTGAAAAAATTATACCATGCACCCAGAATACTGTAGGCTTCCTTAGCTTTTTGAAAGTAGAGTACTCATGGGGAAAACTTTCGTAAACAGATATGGCTTAAAGTGAAGATGCGATTACCACTTACTTATAAAAGAATTTTTTTATGCATTTTCATGCATTCAAAGAAACCTATCAAATCATATCAAACTACGTTCTAAACAAAAATATAAAAGAACTGATGTAGTAGTAAATATACAGTTCAACATATGAGCTGTGTAATTTCAGTTACGTGAGCTGAAAAGAAAGCAAACATATTGGAAGACTTACAGTTAGTGGCAGTGACGATGGTGTCTTTAGTCGTCAGAGATATAGTAGTGAATGATAAAGATTTTAATGGGTGTAGCAAAAATAAAATAAAGATCAGCTTATCGGCATTGGTATCCATAAGAGTATTTGCGTCTACAATTTTCTCACCTGCTTGACGAATCTTTTTTTTTTTTTTTTTTTTTTTTTTTGTTGTTGTTTTGTTGCGAAAGTTGAAATAATACATGTGGCAGGTAAGACATTTTTTTCCAGTTGGTATTCTTGGTAATCTTGCAAAAAATTGCTTTATACACATTTGCTATGCAACTAACTTACTGTTTGGCAGTTGTATAAAACACTGGACAAATAGTCAGTTTACTGGCGTAATACCAAGGAGGACGTCGATTATTAACTCAAAATTACTGTTAATCCGACGGCAGTTAAAAAGAAACATTACAAAAGAATAACCCATATTATAATTATCAGAAAACATATTGCTACCGTTTGACAAAAATTTTCAAGCAGTTTAATCCGGAGAATAACAGACTCTCTGAGACTCAATTAGTTAACAAACTAAATCCATATTAAAAATTTAAAAAAAAAGCATAGGAAAACTAATGGAACATTAGACCTCATCAGAAGTGAAGAAAGTAAAATACAAATGGGGTTAAAGATAATTCTTACGAGACGCCTTGATAAACAATATCACTGACTTAAAATTCACGTAAAATAATCAGATGGACCTTTTGATTCTAATAGTACAATATTTATAATTTTGGATTGTGCAAATAAATTGTGCACTTTTATGGATAAAAAGAAATCTCAAATGCTGTGACATTATATGCTGTCACTACTGCTATCTACATTTTACTTAGAGGTTTTGTTTTACACTCATAAGTTCAAACAGTCATTTTCCATAGTTCTGAAATAAATAACACCATTTTTCTAGGCAGAGACAGGTCAATTCGCAATTTGGTTAATCGGGAATTAATTGTACTACAAAAGCGAAGACTCCTTTCAGATATTTTCATTAATCGGAAAAAAGTAGTTTATGTCTTCGATAAAAGTGAAATTTCGTAAAGGGAATATTAGTAACGTAAGGTATATTTATATTTAGATTAAATAAAAAATCAGCGTACTAAAAGTGAAACACACCATTCACACCAAATGAAAGCATGACACAGCAGGTGATTTAAACATGAACTTGAAATCTCCAGTTGAACCAAAAACATTAATTTGAAATCTACAGTTGAACCAATAAAACAATATATCAGATATTATCTTAATTTGAATGAGAGATTCTGAATCATTGTTTTAATTTCTTATATCCGGAACAAATAAAAAACATTTTGGAAGCGCCCTTAGTTTGGGGGATGTTTTTAGTTTGTTATTTTTGTATCAGAATTTTTCTTTTCAAAGAAGAGTTCTTCAGAGAATATGCGATATTTTATTATTAATATATTTGTGTTACATGAAGTTGTGATTTCCAGGAAGCAGCAGCGCTGAAAGCAAATCCAGCAGCGAGCAGAAAGAAAGCGGCGAAAAAAGTGAAGGTAGTGCTGAGAAAAGCAGTGCGGAAGAAGGTAGTAAGGAAAGTAGCGGTGAATCAAAGAGTTCAAAAGAATCTGGTGAAAATAAAGGTAATTTCTGACAGATTCTTTTATATTATCATTTTCTGACTGAATTAATATACTTTAAAAACGATATAAAGGAGTGCAAAAACCATTTGGTAAATTATTAAACAGTGTCACAAAATTTCCCCGATAATAATAGCAAAATACTTCTCTGAGACTCTTTCCCTTAGTGTGTGTCTTTATAAAGCCACAAAATGAATAAAACAAAAGAGTAGTTTGGGTACTTCCTCCTTTAGTGTCCATCACTCCTAGTCGACAAAACTAACAAATTTAATAACCCACCTAATCTATTCAAATGTCGCCAAAACGCTTTAACAAGGAAATGCAATAATTTCTCAAGGTAACCTCATATCCTGGAAATTTTTAATTAATATCTTCTTATCGTTTCTCATTTCATTGAGTTATTCACAATAACGTAATATCTTTAAATGAATTTGTTAACATCATTACTTGAATTCGAATTAATAAATTCCAGTGTAATATTTTTAAGACTTTGAAATAATTTTAGAAAATTATGCGAAATATGTTATGATATTATTCATGCATCGTTCATGTGCGGTTAGTGTCCTAATCTGACTCTTTTGACAGGAATATCTATCAAATACACTTATAAATTCTTTTTCTTTTGTAGCTGATCAACTAGATGATAAATATAAATCTAGAACAGTTTTAATATAGTCAACTGATGCAGAAATTTAACTTACTGATATGCTGCTTTTTGTTATACATTTGCTGTAAATCTAAATTCGTCCTTTTTTATTTTTATTTATTTATTTATTTATTTTACAATTTTTCTATCGTTATATTGATTTCTATGGCGCAGGGAAAGTTTGTGATGAGATTTTCGAAGTCCATGAAGGTCCACATTATCAAAAATGGTAGCAGACTTTTCTAGCTGTAGAGATTAACATCTAGGCTTAACGAAAATTAATAATGTAAAATTCCTCGATAAAACTAATGAATTTTCCGTGAGTAATCATTATTTTAAAAAGGAAAATGTCTTTAGGCTTTTTTACATGACTTTTGCAAAAAATAGCGAAGATTGCTCTTATTGTTGTTTTATCCTGTCGATGCTCTTTCTTTTTTTTGTTTTGTTATTATCTTTATGACCCCATTCTTAGCCACCTCTTCTGATATCGACATTTCGTCATCTATTATTTCTCTTTGATGGGCACTCTTTGTCACCACATCCGCCCTTTCGTTCTTTGTCGCTTCCTAGTGATCTGTTATGAAATTCGTATTAATTTCGTTTTTTGCTATTTGAGATTTAAGGAACAATTTATATCGATATTTCTTCTGTGGTAGACATGACAGACAGAGTGTTTCATTTTTAAGAAACTTGTTCCCACATGAAATACTTTTGCATTGCTCGTAAATCGAGCTGTTTTTTATAGATATGCTGTAATTATGCATAACACAAGCTGCTCTCACTTCTATCATTAATTTAGTACTCTGTGGTATAAATACTACTGCGTCTTCACTTTTTGAGAGTACTTTTCTCTATCGTATGCCGCGCTACTGTAGAAACTTTTTCCTATAGTTCTTTAGGCCAAGCAGTTATGTCGCCTTTTGATATTTTTTTCTTCGAAAAATATCAATGTACAATATGGAACGGTAATTCGCTTCCAAATTTATTAAAAGAATATACTTTCCTTACTGTCGAGTGAGCGGTCATTCGCCAAAAAGGCGATAGCTGTCTTAAGATAAATTTTAACTTTCTTAAAGCTTCCAATGGGAATTTTTCTTGGAAGCATGGAAAAAAAAATCCCATTTTTAGGGAAAAAAGATAATTATTCCTTTCTTCTTGCATATTAAAAGTGAGTTTAATTTTTATCATTTCCAAACGTTTTTAAATATATTTTGTTTTCCAGAATTTATTCTTAGTTGTATATAGGAAGGAGGTTTTAGGAAATCTCAAAACTACTGTTGAAGAATTCAGTGCAGGGAGTTCGTTACCACTGCTCGTTCGATTCTTTCGGCTCTTCGCTCGATCGTCGTACTCTCAAAACTGATAGAATTTTATTCAGAATCTTAACTAATTTAATATTTTAAACCTAATTTAAAATTTTACATTGATGTGTTCTTTTTCTGTTTAAAATTTAAAGAGCTGATGATTATCATAACTATAATGAATTACAATAACAAAACCGCTATTTCTCTTTCAAAATTATTAGCTGATTGCCTTATTTATTGTTAATTGCAATATTTTGAGCAACATAAAATTTTAAATCATGAAGTCTGTTACATGAAATCTTTTAACTGCTTGCTTTAGATTGAAAATTATAGTATCAGCTATTGATTTATTTTTTTAATCATATTTCATTATTTTTTAATATGTATGAATATAACCTAAAGTATTTGACTGTGTGTTGAAAGAGAACTTCTTTACGATCAAAATGCATTAAAACATTATCATGAAAAGAAGAAAGACAAGTATTCATTTTATTTTATTAAGAAAAGTTTTCGGCAGTCTTAGCAGTTTTCTATCTCCCTCTTTTCTCTCTCTCTCTCTCTTTTTTTTTTTTTTTTTTTTTTTTTTTGGTTTTTAATTTTTTTTTATGATTTAAAACATTGCTTAATTTTTATTCATTTAAAGTCAAAAATTTTTTGAAAGAACTTGAAATAAATCTGATAACAGATATTTCGTAAACAGGATTCTATACGACTAATTTGATTCGTCGAATTTATAAGCACTGTCGGTACTTCCTAAAAGAATTTCACATTGAATAATGAAAAACACATGAAAAGAACCAAAAACTTACTTATTCACATTGCAAATTTCTATGTGATTTCAATTTTGATTGAATATCTTTCCTGCGGCTACATAGACACATATTCAAAGAAAGATGAGTTCTCCGAGTTCTACTAGTGTTGTTGCAGTTGGGGTATAAAGTAGAAAGTGGCTCTTAATTTAACTTCAAACAAAGAAATCACATGGCAGAAGATCTTGATAGTTATGGTTTAAAATATGTAGAATTAGTATGACTTCGCTTGGATGTGCGTCGTTTAATCAGTGGGTAACAGAATATGTGCAGTGTATAACAAAAACTGAGTGAGGTTTTAGTTTATTTCATGTTATTACTGTATTTATGATTCTTTTAAAAAATAAAGTGTTTTAAAATCCGATGAATTATTTACATTGGATAATACATAAACAGCAAATATTAATCACGTATATTTGCTAAAAATAATTAAAAAGATAAAATTTATATATTACAACCTAAGATTTACACATCAGTGGTGAACATCGACATAGACCGAATGCCATATCTGTATCTATATTTTTTCTGTTGAAGGGTGTTTGTTATATTCGCCTAAAAAACTGTTACTAAGGCAATTCAATACATGTATTGCTGGAAATGCTATTTGTTGTTGGAAATTCTGTTAACATTTCTTTAACCATTTCGCATACAAACTTCAAATTACTTACACTATAGATATAAAGACATATAGTGATATAAAGACATATGCCTACAATATTTTATTTGTTTAAACGATCTCTTTCTTTTTCATACTTTTCCACTGATATTAATGATTTGAAAAGTAACTATAATTATTGCTAATAATTGCAATAGTCGTATATTTTAAAATTTATATAACTAATACATTTATTTGCCTCTCCTATAGCATCCAAGAAAAAATCTAAGAAACCAAAATACCAGTTTCCTGCTTCCTATTCCTTCCCTCCAAGGACACAACAGCAGCTGGTTTACACAGCTCCTGCACCTTATCAGCCTTATACAGCTTCCTATTCCTTAGTTCCACCTTCTGCTGCTGCTTTTAAAACGAGCTACCAGATAGTGTCTCAAGTTCCAACAGGTTATGTAAACCCTGTTGTTAAAAGCGTCATTTCTGCTCCAGTGGCAAGAATAGTCTCGAGACCTTCAGTGGTTTACCAAGCTCCAGCAGTGGCCAAAAGTATAAGTGTAAATCCTGTATCTCGTCTTGTCCAGTCAAGCTACTGGGGACCTAGTGGAAACGTAGCTTATTACAAGGTTTGAAATATTTTGCTAAAGGGAAAGATATCGAAAACAACCCGAAGAAAATAATGACTTAAAACACTGGAACATTCACAACTCTAAAATTTAAAAATATCCCTTGTATATTTATTCCTTTATTATGCATATATCATAATTAACTCATGAAGATTTGTCAAAGGCTAATATCGAAGGGGAAATAAATGATTTTTTAGCACATATGTAGTTTTTTTATAAAGTTTAATAAAATACCTCAAAGAAGAGTGTTTAAGCTTCCTCATTTCTAAAGCATTTCGGTATACGTTTTCCGTTCAGCATTTCTGTTATATACATTAAAAGAATACTTTTTTAATTCTTTTAGTTGCAGCAAAAGAAAAAAAAAGTTATTTTCATTTATTGTTGCATGAACGCATGAGCCCTTATTGAATTTTTGTCTAATCAGTTAGTTGCTCGTTCTTTACAATTGGAACTAAGATACTACTGTATGTATGATTAAATTCATATGAATTCCCTGAAAACTACTTAAAAAATCAATTGTCTGCGTTTTGATTCTGTGAAATGAGTGCAAAATTAGGAAAACAAATCGGGAGTTGTAAACAAACTTGTATAAAAATTCCCTTAATATTGTAATTTGATTTTACATAACTCACAGTTTACAAATAGTATTAGAGGATTCGGTAATAAACATAATTAAATGAGTTGTATTGAAATGTTTTCTCATAAAAATTATATGCTTTTTATTACCAGTCTCCCCTTCCAAATCAGCAAGAATTAAATGAGAATGGCAAAGACTTATGCAGGTGTCAAAATACTAAAAATCGGCCAAGTGTTTTGGATCACGATGGGCAACAGGCTGTTCACGAGCGGCTTTTGCTGTGTGGAAAAATTATTCAGCTCAATGCACCATTTTACATCAGTCAAAAAAATAAAAGTATTTTCCAAATCAACTCCAAAATTTAGAATTTTTAAAAGTGGTTGATATCTTATAGAAATTGTCATACCTGATATACTAAGATTCTTTTTACTTTTTAAAATATCAACTATATTATTTGAAACAAATAATATAATAAATTGTATTTTCTGTTTTCGTAAAAAATAAAACCTCTCATTGAAATTTTATATTTTATTTTATTGGAATGAAGTGCAAGCACTTTTGTAAAATTTTATAGCTGACTACTGTAGATAAATATTATGAATAGTAGATAATTTACAGGATAAATGGAAAAATTGTATTATTTATCCTATTTACTCGCATTTTTCTTTCCTCTATCTTTAGCAGCATATGATTTAGTGAATTATAATTTATGATTTATAATTTATGAAAACAACGTAAAATCTATTCACTGAAAGGAAAGTTGATTTTATAAACAAAAGAATGTTTCTGAAATACACGTTACCGTAATATTAGTATGTCTGTTTACATGTCTTTTTAATGTGTTGTGTTCTCTATATAAATGTTCTCCTGAAAAATAATATATGCCTCTCAGTTTTTAAGTGTTTAATAGTAGTAAAAAAAGAAAGGAAGAAAACGTGCACGAGTTAATATGGTATTCATTGCATTTAGTAAACACGTTTTATCTTTAGGAAATGAGTTATACAAATTATTTCGATTAAAAGGTGGTAAAAATTATAATGCAATTTATTTTTAATATTCATGCAAGTATCATAAAGCTTAATTTTCCGTTTTCTTTTCCCGGTAGAATAATTAACAATTTTATGATTCTAAAAATTATAATCAAAATGCAATATGCAATACGTTTTTGTATATTGCTCAAATAAAAGAGGATGATCGAATTTCGAATCAAACCAACCGTATTCCGTCTCATGTTTGAAATATATAATAATATTATTAATTATCTGAGACTATTTAAGAAAAATTGTTTCTAAATTGAATACTTATAATCAAATTATAATGCTTTCAAATTAAAAAATTTTACATTTCAACTTTTAACCGAAGAGCTTATTAATGAGTTAATATTTTTTGTTATAACAGTAATTTCACAGATGTCTAAAATTTATCACTTCCCTTTTTGATCTGCTATGAAGTTAAATGAAATGTAACACTGACTGTTAAAGTTTTAAAGGAAAAATATCAAACGGACAATTTTATTAAAATGTATTTCGTGAAAGACGTATCTAAGCACAAGTATGGAAAGAAATAGTAATTCAAAATTGAAATAGGACTTCAGCACATGCTGAAATATTTGAATAATAATAAATTCAGAGTTTTGCTGGAATCAAACGGAATCATATGTTACGAATGAGTCTGAAATAGAATTTTTATTTTTGGAAAAATTTCAGGAATGTTCTTTGAATTATAGATTACGTTATATTTATTGAACACTGAAAGGGAAAGTTGACACTCAGTGCTATAGTAAGTTATGCTACAGGTGAATTCGAAAGTAACTGAAATATTTTAGACACTGTAACATAAAATGTGCATTTCTGGAAATAAAATCCTGATTTTTAAAATTTTTGTTCCTAATTTTATTATTTTCCCAATAGAAAAAAATATGTATGAATGTCTGTGACGAGATAGTAAAGAAATATAAAATACTACTTGAATTTATATTTCAATATTGCAATTGAAAAAAATCTTACATATTTAAAATTAATAAAAAATTACTTTCAAGATGCAAAAATAATCTCATTAGACATTCATTTAGCTATAAATATTTGATTTAATTAATTAAAATATTTGTCAATAGAAAGAATACTCACATACGTATCCCTATGCTACAATTTTATCATACGTTATTGAATTACGGATGCATAATCAAGTACATTTATAGAGAAAAGTTTTCGCTTTTATATAATATATCAATGATTCTAAAAATATGCTCTACGAAGTCTTAAGGTCCTTTTGCACACTTCTTGGGCGCTCTAAGGCGGTTCAAAGAAGATAAAATAAATAAAAAATAAATGAAATTACAGTTGCATTATAGTAGTAAAATAAAAATTGGAGTCATTTTATTATAATGAAATTGGAATCATTTTATTGTAATGAATAATAAAATCTTTGAATAAGTTATGAATGATAGGAGAGGTAGGGTGCATCCAGACGACTAGAAATATCACCTAACGATGTAAGGTTGGAAATGACTTGTGCATGCGGTAGCACACAAAGAAAATACCAGAAATGAAAGTATACCGCGTAATTTTTTTCTTTAGCCTTTATTATGTAATTTTTCCTTCCAAGGATATTGGCATTATGCCTTTACTTCCCGGCAGTCTTTAAGAGGTACGCAACAACGATGGGCTCTGGTCGATCGTGATATTGGGTCAAAGATGAAAGAAAACTGCTCATTGCATGGATGTCAATAATATCAGCAAAAGCAAATTCGATGAACATTTATGAAGCATATCAACAAAAACTTGGTAAATGAGCTGGAATCTCAATGAATAAAATTTGGTATCGGTTGTTTAGTGTTTCTGTTAGGGATTTTTAAAATGCTTCATGGAATTAATAGCCCATACGTATATTCAAATGATTCATCGGTTAATATTAACAACTACCAAATAAAAGGCTTAAAGATAATAATGTATGAGAATTTATCAAATGAACTGGTTATTATTAGCATAATTCTCAAAGATGAACAATAAAAATAATGATTTTCAATGCATTCTGTTCTAACCTCTCCACTGTCCAAGTGTATTATATCGTGTATGCACAGATACTACAGAGTAAACGTGTTTGACAATTTAGATAACGTTAAACACTTTGTAGTTTGAATTTGTTGTTTCTTTCATTGTTATTACGTGCATAAGTAATTTTACATTTTCACAGCTACCGGCAAACATAACGAATGATTTAGAATTAATAAAGACATGACTTACCTGTCATGTTAAGATGCTGAAAATGAAAAAAGGAAAGAATTATGAGTCATTTATAACTTTATTCCTTTTTAGTGAAAAAGATGATGGAAATATGAATGATGATAAAAAGATTTCTGGCAAATTATCAGAAGACAACCAGAGACTACTAAGATACTATTTTGAAAGAAATGAAAAATTAAAAAAACCTCATAGCATTAGTTAACTCTGAGAAAAACTAGTTATCTATATTCCTTAATTATATCTCAATTTTCCGGAAAAGAATTTTCAAATAATTCATAAGATCCATATTGCAGTCTGACATAAAAGGACTATAAAAGAGATTAAGGAGAGGTACATTACAGCAGAAATGATTAGGACATATCTAAATCTTTGTGAGCCTTGTCGAAAGAAACAACATTTCCAGAAAATCCTAGTTGCTAAACCAATGAAAATTTGTGAATTTAAGTCTAGATATCAAATTGAACTCAATGATATGCAGTCACAAGGAGACAGCGATCATAAATTTTTAATTGCTTATCAAGACCATCGAAAAAGATTATAGATTAATTAAAGACCTTAAAAACAAAACTAGCCAAAAAAGTTATTTACTAAAGATGTATTCACAATATTTGGAGCACCGTTAATCTCGCATAATTGAAAACAGCCGGAAATTCAAAACAAAATTATTGAAAAGTTTGCGGAATATAAGATGAGCTCAAAAATTGTTTGTAGAAATCCAAGATGTAATTAATTTAAACGCTGAATTGAAAGTGAAAACAAAGGTATTGAAAGTATTGTTGTGTTCGTAACCGGTTCGTAATAGATTGAATGCAAACAGAACCGTTGATAGGTTAATAAAATTTATTCTACGAAAAGAAACACTTCAGATTTCTGGAACTTTCCGCAAAAGTAATTGTACAACTCTTCATAATATCACAGAGAAAGTAGTAGTTACACTTCAAACTACCTTGAATATCAAACATAACGCAATGTAAGGCGCATCTAAAGAGCGAAATTAACTCGGGGATTTCTTAATACTCTTTCTCACGCTGAATTAACAACCGAGAGCGGATGTTCTCTCTCCAGTATAGTTTTCACCCGGCTGCCGAGCTATGCTGTTTTCTGTTTCTTTAAATTACTATGAGTCATATTATGGCATATAAAGGCCAAATTATGGTTATAGCTGCACAGAATATCAATTACAGTTTTTCAATTACGATGATACGGGGACTGAACCAAAATGTCACCAAATGGTCGCTAAGTTTGGCGTCTTTTCGCGACTTATCGCCAAATTTGGCAATAAAAATTACTCCCGAAGATTGCTGCCAGCTTGGCGATATCTCGCTAAATAGCGAGATAGCCATTTACTTTAGGTTAAATGAACTTTCCCCTGTATTCTTACTTTTTTGGCAAGGTTCCCTCCTCTACATTTTCATGCTACATTATACAAAAGAAATGCAACAATTTTAGATATAATTTGACTAATTTGACTATCCATGCACAAAATTCGTAACAATTTGTTATTTACACCCCCTTAATTAAATGATACAACAAAATTGTTAGAAAAACTTAAGTTTTTTCATTTATGAAAAGCAGAACATTTCACTTTCACATAACTAGCAGTCCATGTAAAACTTTGCTTGGCTGTAAAGTTAAAAATTATTTGAGAATCTACTTGCCAGACGATAGTCAAACTTGAATTACGAGTGAAGAAAGTGTTGATCCTTTATGAGAACACCCAGTTGTGATCATCTTTTGAGATCACAGAGTAATTTCAAAGGAGGCTGGCGGTACAGGTGAAGTGAAATTAATCATGAAACTGTAAATTGATTATTCGAGAGATAACATGTTGCTGATACATCTTGGACGTTCAATCAGATATAAAAATAAATGCACAATTTAAACAGAAGACGAACAATATGCTTCTGAAACAGAAAATAATCAGACGAACAAATTGAAAAGTAATACCAATGCTGAAATGGAAAATAGTGAAAAGCCGGAGGAAGGTTTTTATCCACTCAGTGAAGCCTTTGAAAAAAATTCAAGTATATCAGAGGTTTGCTAAACAGTCAATAAACAAGTGAATAATATGCTACTGTTTTCGAAGTTTAAAATCGGATAAGGCACGTTATAGTTGTTACGACTTCTATTAAAAAGAAAAACTTATGTAAACTAGGAACAGAATACGGCATTTTAATCTAACTTTTTTCATAAGGAAGGAATTCGCCATTCTTGCGAAAACATTTATTTAAGTTAAGGAAGTTCTAGCCCTCCAATCGTTAAGATTTTGAAACCTTTAAACTTCTCCAAATGATACCGCGAATAAGTGGTATTTCCTTGATTATAATTCCAAAATTACCCTCAGACTTGGCATGTTGACTCCTTTTCTTCCAATATGCATCCAACCCGAAGTTGAATCCGTCAAGAGCTAGCAGAAGTTTTCATCTGTAACGAATAGAAAAGCCATCCTTCCATGCGAAATTTTACTCCACGATTGAAAAGCTAAATACTGAAATAAGTCCAAGAGAATAGGCTCGCAAAGTCTTTAACTTAGGTGGTCAAGTATTTCAATATGTTTTTTATAAGTGTGATTCTAAAATCAAAAATTTAAATTCCTTTGAAATTCTAAATACCTTAGAAACTCCTCCTTAATTTGCATAATTAATTAAGGAAAAAGTAATTTATTGTATTTTCCCCTTTAATTTGTTAATAATCTGTATTTAACTATTTATTAAAACTATTAAAGACTTCGTTTATGTAAAAAATAATGAAATAACATTTTTATTTCCTTCGTAATTATTAATACTTATCAGTCAGTGTGATTATTGTGCATTATTAATCACATTGATCTAAAGACGTGGATATCAATAATGACTTGTTATTCTAACTGGATTTATCACATAAACCATAACATAGATTAAAGCTATATATATACCCTGCCAGTACACAGAGTAGAAGTATTTTCAGTAGTATAGTAGTTGTATTTTGAATTCAGTAGTACAGTAGTGTCTTGAGTTCAGAGATTAGCTTGAGAGTGAACAACCAAGTCGGAAGCTGTACTGTAGGTTGCTTTGCCGTTGAAGCTGTCTTTATCGTTATAGCCTAAAGCCTGTTTTGCTTATTGTTTCAGCGTGTTTATCGTAGCTTCTTGACGACTATACATATGACTATACATATGGAATTGTCCTGTGTAATACTGGCAAATAAATTCTTTATCAAGTGTTGCCATCAATTACTCCAAATCCACGATCCCGTAGAACGCAACAATATATACAGCAGAATTCTAGAATTCCTTATGCGGCCTTTATTGTTTCAATCGTTGGTCATATACATTTACTTGAGAATGTTTTAAGTAAAGAAAATATTTATATTTTAGCATTTCAAATCTAAAAACACATTTTATAAAAATTACGAAATCTTACCTTTTATATGATCTCTCCGTCTCTACAGTTATATTTAGAAAAGGTTTATATTCATTTCCACCAAACAAAACATTAAAAAGTTTGTTTCCAGTACGATAAAAATTAATAGAGATTTTAATTTCAAAATTTATGTTTTTTCTTCCACTAACTAATATGCATAAGTAAAGGATACATTCTTTACAGTCCGAAACTTCGATAGTAAGTTTTCAGTGGATAAGAATGATACTGGTATCC